AGGGGGCCACTTGTTGGTACCCGAACCATCCAGCAGCCCCAGGGGCCCGGATCCCGCACCGGGTGGCACCCACTCTTGGACACGGGTCTCCACGGAGCTTTGGTGTTGTCCCCGAGCCCTCCCCACCCCGCGTGCCTCAGTTTCCCTCCACACCCAGTTCTGGCACCGGGGTTGCCCCACGCGTGTGTGGGGACTGCTGGGTGCAAATTAGGGGGCTGCTGGAGTGCAGCACCCATAGGTGGGGGCCAGGGGGTTTGGTTGCTCGCCTCCATGGCTCAGAGCCGGCAGCAACGAGCATGCTGGGTAATTTCAAGCTAATTAGGGAGAACAAAGAGGGAGCGGGCTTGAGGTGGGGGGACACACTTGGGGCAGACCGGCCTGCTACCCCCGGAGGCCGGGGCTATGGGAGAGGGGACAGGGAGATGCTGGGATGGTGGGCCCCTTGGGAGCCTTGCCCATGTTCGTTAATTACGCTCTGTAATTAGCATTGGTGGGGGTGAGGGGGGATGATGGCAGCCCCAGGATATCCCCATCCCCCGCGTCTCCTCCTGCCCCCAGGCCAACAGGGTCAGCAGGACTGGGCAGGGGTGCTGGGGAAGGGGCTGGGGGCATGGGGACAGGGTGGGGATAGGGCCCCCCCTAAATCCTCCAGCAAAGGGCCCCAGCGCCTGGAGAAGTACCCGGATGAGAAGTCAGCATGCCTGCGTGGGAGCCCCAAGGTGAGGGGGTGCTCTGGAGGGGTGCTGCCCACTGCTTGGGGTCCCATGCCAGAGCAGGTCCCTCCTTCCCTGAACTTGCTGGGCTGGAGCTGGGTGGCTGTCGCCCCATGCGCGCCAGTAGGGGATGCAGATGGGTCTCAGTGCAGCCGGGTCTGGGTGCGGCAGGGGCCAGGGGCTGGGTGCAGCAGGGGATGGGCTCTGGGTGCAGTGGCGGCTGGGGTCTGGGTGCCACTGGGCTCTGGATGCAGGCAGCAGCCAGGACGGTGCAGCAGTGGCTGAACTCTGCATGCAGCAGAAGCCAGGCCCTGGGTGCAGCAGTGGATGGGCTCTGGGTGCAGCAGCAGCCAGGATGTGGGTGCCACAGTGGCTAGGTATGGGTGCAGCAGCAGGGATCTGGGTGCAGTGGGGCTCGGTTTGGGTGCAGCCCACAGTGACACCCCCCCATCCCTCCTCTGCAGGTCACTGAGATCAGCAACGTCAAGTGCATCACCCGGCTGCCCAAGGAGACCAAAAGACAGGCCGTGGCCATCGTTTTCACTGATGACTCCGCACGGACTTTCACCTGCGATTCAGGTACAGGGCAGCGCCTGGGGAGCCGGGCTGGGGGTGCAGGATGGGCCACCCTGGTTTGGCTGGGGGCACCCAGGGGCTGCCACGGTGCTTTGCAGAGCTGGAGGCAGAGGAGTGGTACAAGATGCTGTCGGTGGAGTGCCTGGGCGCTCGCCTGAATGACATCAGCCTGGGGGAGCCTGACCTGCTGGCACCCGGCGTGCAGTACGAGCAGACGGGTGAGCACGCAGCAGTGGGGCGTGTGCTCAGGGCTTGGCCTTGCTACGCCCCCCCCAAATTTTTTATTTTTTTTTTCCCCTCTCCAGACCGGTTCAATGTGTTCCTCCTCCCCTGCCCCAACCTGGACGTTTACGGCGAGTGCAAGCTGCAGATCACCCACGAAAACATCTACCTCTGGGACACGCACAACCCCCGGGTGAAGCTGGTCTCCTGGCCCCTCTGCTCCCTGCGCCGCTATGGGCGCGATGCCACCCGCTTCACCTTCGAGGCCGGACGGTGAGACATCTGCCTGGCTGGGACGGAGACCACCGCTGGGTGCCTTCATCCTGCTGGGCGCACCAGGAGGTGGCACTGCTGCTGCCACCCTAGGGCAGACCTGACAGCAGGGTGATGGCCACGGCCCACCTAAGGGTGCCCACAGCTGGGGAGGTTTGGTTCTGGAGCTGGTCCCAGATCAGCACCAAGGAGGGGAACACGGGGACAGCACTTATAGCATGGAAGCTGGTCCAGCTGCCAGCTGGGGGGGGGATTTTTTTATTGTCCCTTGGCTCGGGGCCCCTGGTGACATCCCGTGCCCCATCCCACAGAATGTGCGATGCCGGGGAAGGTCTCTACACCTTCCAGACGCAGGAGGGTGAGCAGATCTACCAGCGCGTGCACAGTGCCACCTTGGCCATCGCTGAGCAGCACAAGAGGGTCCTGCTGGAGATGGAGAAGAATGTCAGGGTGAGCTCCAGCCCACCCTGGGGACACGGCCTGGGGAGGGGGAGGGCTCAGGGCACCTCATGTCACCCTCACCCCCTTCTCATCCTCCACAGCTGCTGAACAAGGGCACTGAGCACTTCTCCTACCCTTGCACCCCCACCACCATGCTGCCCCGCAGCGCCTACTGGCACCACATCACCGGCTCCCAGAACATGGCCGAGTCCTCCAGCTATGCTGGTGAGTGTCCCCATCCTTCCCTGAGGCTTCGCCGCTCCTCCGGCCCCTGGAGCGTGTGTGTGTCCCCCTCACAAGCCCACCCTCTGCTTCGTCCCCAGGGGAGGCATACGCAGGCGCCCAGGCCAGCTCGGACACCGACCTCCTCAACAAGTTCATCTTGCTGAAGCCAAAGTCCTCCAAAAGCGACAAGCCTGAAAGCAGGGAGCCCGCATCATCCCTGTGAGCTGGCGGGGGGGGACCAGGGCAGGGGTCCCTGTTTTCTTCCCGGTGGGGGGTAAGGATGTGGGCAGCCACCCCTCTGCGTCCCCAGGGAGAGCGAGCTGGGGCATCCTCCATGCCAGGGCCTGGGGGGAGCAGGCGCTGGCTTCCACCCTGGCCGGACGTTAGTGGAGGTGACAGCTGGCTCCGCCTCAACCAACTTGAAATATATATTGAATATCCATATTGTAAGAGAGATTTCCTTTTCACACGGACACAAACCGTGTGGCTGCCATCAAGCCCTCGGGCAGAGATGCTCAGAGGTTTTGGACTCCTGAGGACCCAGCTGGGAGGTGGAAGGGGGAGGTGTGTCAGGAAATTTGGTGTGATTTTTGTGAGGTGGGGGAGGCTGGAGCATCGCCCTGCCGCAGGGACAGAGCAGCACTGGAGGAAGCGGTTGTGCCAGGCTGAAGGCACCGGGCACCAGCATCTCCTCCCACCCCCCTGTGAAGAGTGAGGTGCTCCTGGGGACGCCCCACCACCCTGAGCTGATTTTTGCACTTCTCGGAGCTATTTAAACACTTGCTGTAGAATTGAGACATCTCAGGAGAAACTGGTTTTCCTTCCAGGGGGTGAGCCAGGGTGGGCAGCTGGGCAGAGCTGAGCCCCCCGGCCTTCCCAGGCTGCCCTCACCCCAGCCCCCCTCACCCCT